CTGGAATTCAGTATTTCAAGATTTTTTAAAGGTAATAATAAGTCTACATTAGAAAGAGCATGCACTTTTGCACAAAGTAGTTTTCCCTTTAATTGGATAGAGATATTGCTTTTCCAGTACCCATTATTACCTTTTTAAATTCACCACAGTTGTGCAATGTTACTAAAAGAAAAGCAAAGTCTACCGTAGCTGGCCAAGTTCAATCACCTTGTAAGCATTATCTTAGGTGAGGCCTTGGCAAGGCATAAGCTGGGACATTCACCCTCTCTTCTTGTATTCCTTTGTGTACACACACGGAGTGAAACCTTCTGTTTTGAATTGATAACATACTACCATTTTGTGTCACATACAAACTGCAGCAAGTATGGTTTATTCTAACTAAAGATTGTTAAATCAGGATATGTAGGTTTCATCTGTCAAAGGAACTTCTAAGGAGAATACAACATCCAAAGAAACTGAGCAGGCAAGACTTCACATAAGCTTATTTGAGTACCTGCCAGAGACCAGTTGCTGGCTTGTCAGTGAAGAAACACTAACCGAAGTGGGTGGGTAAAGTGGCAAAAGAAGCTGCACCAAAAGGATGGGGGTGGGGGAATGCCTCAAATGTAGTCTTCTTTATGTTAAATGTTGAATTTACACTTCTTGCTCTTTTCCACCTTTTCAACAATTCACTGAACTTCTAGCTACTCCAAGAAGGGAAGGCACCTGGGTTTAACAGGAGAATCAGGGAAGTGTTGAAAAGGTAGAGGGAACTGAGAAGTGTCAGTTCAACATTTAACATAAAGATTACACTTTTAAGTTTAAGGCATTCCCCACCCCTCTGCCACACACACTTCTTTGGTGTAGAAACACAGAAAACAGCGCGAGTCAGAAGGGGCCTCCCGGGCCATCTAGTCTGACCTCCGGCACCAGCCGGCTCCGCTCATGACATGCCCACCATGTGGACGTCCAGCCTATCCTTGAACACCCGCACCGATGGGGCCTCAGCCACTTCCCAGGGAAGCCCATTCCACACCCTCGGGGTCTTGACTGTCAGGAAGTGCTTCCTGGCATCCAAATGGAACCTTGGCTCCCTGAGCTTTGCTCCATTGGAGCCCGTTCTGCCTTCCTCTGCAGGGGAGAACAGGTCTCTACCCATCTCCATGTGACATCCCCTCACATACCTGTATGTTGCCAACATATCCCCTCTGAGTCTCCTCTTCTCCAGGCTGAAGAGACCCAGTTCCCTCAGTCTCGCCTCATACAGCATCCCCTGCAAACCGGCTACCAACCTTGTGGCCCTACGCTGCACTGACTGTAACCTGACTATATCCTTTCTGTAATGAGGGGCCCAAAACTGAACACAATACTCCAGTTGCAGGCGCACTAGAGTCATGTAGAGTGGTAGTAATACCTCTCTTGATCTAGAAGCCATACTTCTGGCTATGCAACCAAGGGTGGCATTCGCCCTCTTGACCACTGCATCACATTGCTGACTCATGTTTAGCCTACAGTCAACCAGCACCCCGAGGTCCCTTTCACAAGTGCTGCTCTCCAGCCACTTACCACCTTACCTGTACTTATGACAGCTATTCCTATGCCTCAAGTGCAAGACCTTGCACTTATCCACATTGGACGCCATCCTGTTGTCTCCTGCCCACTTCCATAGTTTGGAACTGGACTACCTGCTCCTCAGTTGTGGCCACTGCTCCAGTTTTAGTGTCGTCTGCGAATTTGATCAGCAGACTGTTCACTCCTTCTTCCATGTTGTTAATGAAAAGATTAAACAGGATCAGCCCCAGGACAGAGCCCTGGGGGGCCCGCTTGTCACTGGCCGCCATCCCGATGATTCCCCGTTAATGGCTACCTTCTGCTTTCGGTCAGTCAACCAAGCCCTAATCCACCAGACAGTGCTTTGGTGTATCCCAAAACTCCTCAGTTTCTCCACCAGGATATCATGGGGCACTTTGTCAAAGGCCTTGCTGAAATGCAGGTATACCACATCCACTGCATCCCCTCCATCTTGCCATCGCAAAACCTTGTAGCTTTTTTTTGGGGGGGGGGGCTCTTTTCTCTTTACCAGGTAAGAGACAAAACAATACTTCGCATATAAAGAGGTATATTGCAGAAGAAGGATGGCCTGTGATTGCAACTCTACCTTTTGATAGGCCTGTGTTTGCAATTCCCCCCCTTCAGTGTTTTTCAATTCATAATTTGGTAATTGGTCCCTAATAACTATACACAGTTGCTGGCAATCCATGAGGCAGTTTTCACAGTGGCAGCAACCTGTGCGTGCAATGCCCAGTCCTAAGTGGTTGGGTCATCACTCCCTGTCTGTGCTCCACTGGAAAGAGAAGAAACTCCTCTTGGGCTGAGCATTTGATTCTGCTGCTTCTCCGTACGATCAGCTGACCATTCATTTTGGATGTTGATGATTTTGCTGCTGCTCTATTTACTTTTGGGGAGGGAAAAGCAGTAATAATAGAAGCAATAATAATAGAAGGGGGGGAATTAATACTAGAATATTATATATAAGCAACATAAAGCATAGCAAATAGTATATACAAGCATTACAGTGTGGTGTACCAGTCAGAATCTTGGACTGGAACACTGGAGAAGCAGGTTCTAGCTCCCATTGGAGCATGAAACTCACAGGCTGGCTTTGGGCAAGTTACTCTCTCGCAGCCTAAACTATGTCTCAGGGTTACTGAGAGGATGAAATGAAGAGCAGGAGGACCATTCTGAGTTTTTGTGACAAGACACAATGTGGGATATAAATGGGATAAATAAATGAATAAAATCACACTAAAACCATCTTTTCAGTTCCACTGATTTCAATGTGAGCTATTTACCCTTATGCTCAAGTTCTCATGGAAATAATTCATTTTTAAATGCTTCATTATTTTATTGGATCATACCCAGGTTTTCCACCGGCTTTAAATTGAATGGAAAAGTACCTACATCTTTTCCATGTATTTAAGAAATGAAAGTTACACCTACATAACAATGTACAGGTTTAGCTATTTATTCTTTTTCTTAAGTGTTTATATCAAGCTGTTGAAGAAATGAAGGAGAAAATTGTATGAAGATGTCTATGTGTAGGAAGCACTCAGACCTATTGCATTTTTGAATAAAAATGCCTACTATAATTTTAAAGAATATTATTAACTGAATGTTAATCCAAACTTGTACTTTTATAAAACAATACATACAATTGTTACTGTTGTATAGTACCATTAGTGTCAATACAATCAATTTTCTTAACATACTGCTTGCAACTTTAAAAACTGCAATTACTAAGCAAAAAGTAAAGTTGCAATTATTTAAACACACTTTCTGGCATTCTAGGCACAAATGGCTAAAGTAATGCATTCCTGATAAATTGTTCAGGCTTTATAAGGTGTTCTCTAGCCTTCGGTTCTACTTCCAGGTTTGTCATAAGAAAGAGCATATTAAATATTTTTTAAAAAATAACTTTCTTGAAAAAAACACACCTATAAACAGAAATCCATGCTTTACTGAAGTCAGAGTACAAGACACACAAAAATTAAATTATATACATGAATCAGTTGTATAGTATATATGTGGTGGCTGTGTATGTAAATTATGTTCATGTGGATTAATTACTGCTCATATACAATACACTAGAGAAGTAATTAATAACATGAATACAATTTGCATTGTTATATCAATTATATCAATTTTCTGAGGGTGCTTACAAAGGGACTCTTATTTTCAGTGCAGCTGGTGAGCCTTCTAGAAGTCTTTGCTGGTATCCACCTGTGGAGTTATGTGAAAACTCACATTGAACTTTCAAAGGATGATGCAAATATAATTCATCATTAGTCTAGGTCAGTCTAGCTCTCCAGAAGGTTTGGACTTCCCTATCATCAGACCTTGCCACCATGGTCAACAGTTAGGGATGAAGGGTGCAGCAATCCAAAACATTTGGATGAGGCTGGTCTAGGTAATCCTTAGATCAAGCACAGCACTTGCATCATCACAAATAAATTTACTAGTTCAGTTGTTTCCAGAGACTTGATAGCTGAATAACTATAAATGGAACCCAAGGATACATGTAAATCTGATTGGGCTTCTGAGAAGATAAAAGGAAATACTTCATCTCTTAACTCCAAGTTAATCAATAGCACTTGCTGCCACAGGAGGCAGTGAAGGCCATCAGTTTGGAGGATAAAGTTAGCAATAGTTATGCTAATTATGCTGGTTGCATTACCTTCAGTATCAGGGACAGTATGATAGTGTTTTTCCTACCTGTGCAACTTCTTACCTTCTTGTTTATCCAACTCATACAGTTGTAGAAGCAATAACTGTACATGGGCTGCAATGTGCTGTGGTTGCACATTCTGTAAAATTTGCTGATTACAGATGATGTACAAAATGATTGCTGCACTTATGTAGCTGCTAGAATGATTATGTAACTTGCTTTTTTAAGTGGAGCATCGCATACCATTCTTGTGGGTGTTATGTACTGTGGGGCTTTATTGACCTCATTTACTTTTTTACAACTAAAATGTTTTACAAAAAAGACAAGTTCTCAATTATTCCTGTTAAATTTTTCCTGTTAAATGGTATCACACTTAATATCACAAGAAGATGTTGATTTTGGTTTTTTGATTAATACCATAAATATTACTATTGACAGTAGTTAAGAAATTTCAAAGCAGGACACAATGTGAGAAAGTTTAATATGCATATAAGTAATTAAGGCCAAATATCAACAAAACTACTCATTCTGAATGGCTGGTTGTTGTCCAACAGTAAATTTCATTAGAGTCCAGAGATAACTGGATCCACCAGAAAGCTAAACCAAAGTGTTTTATTTAAGCCTTTTAGATCCATGGGAATTAACCATCTCAAGAGGAAGTACTTTTACAGAAGGAATGTATCTGTTTTAATTTAACTTCAAAATGTAGTATTATTTCAAATGAAAAATTGGAGTTGGTACCTGAAATTTGAGTAACATCCCCATAGCACAGGAGGTACTGCTTTGCCTACTTTACCTGCACATCATTGGCCTTCATCCTTGTTCCCTCCTTGCCAACAAAGATGTCATCAATGTCAACTAGAATGTATCTATCCAAGGACAATGTAAGCCTCTTTCCAGTCAAGAATGAAACAGCATCTATAAATATGAGCTTGTGCAGCCAAAAGTTCAAATTGTTGCCAAAAAGCACACGCTGAATCCCATCATGAAGACCCAAGTCATGAATGATGGTTGCATGGAGAGCACTTTTCATGGGAGGGAGGTTTTCGGGTGCTTTTACTTTTGCAAATATAATAGGTTGGTAGGCTGAATGATTTATGTGGAAAACTGTCCAGTCATTTCCAGGCAAAGGCCCTTTATCAAACTTAGATGATTTGGTCAAATGGAGCACAGAAGAATGAGGATTAATGCAGCAGTCCTTAACACCCACATTGCCATGGCTATGGAAAGGAAAGCCTTTTAACTGGAAGGCCTGCAAAGTGTTTTCACTGCTTCTATGGAACCCAATCATTCCTACACCATATTCTCCGCAGTATTTATCTAGAAGGCCTCGATTCCAGGAATCCATATTCACATACTTAAGGATATTTTCATATATTATGAGAACATATTTTCCTTTGTTTTTATCTATAAGCACAGGAAGGTCACCCTTCCCAGAAGCAATCTCTATATGATATTGGAATCTGCTAGATTCCAAAATCATTATTATGTCTTGACCAAGTGCAGAGTACTGGCTTTCCACAAAAACAAGCACCACAGGATCAGTCCTTAGAGGATCAATGGATTTCACGGTTTTCCATGGTGCTAACTTGTAGGGCAGCAGGACTGGAAGATCTCCACATTCCACCTCAGAAGAGATTTCAGAAAGTTCATTTTCCTGCTTGTAACCATTGTACAAATAATATGCCGAAATAACAATGCTCACCATACAAAAAGTGGCCAGCAGTATAACTGTTCGTTGAAAATGTCTGTGAAGTTTCACAATAAAAGTCATGTTGTAAGTCATGCCTTAGAGGGTTTCCAATAGCAGCAGCATTTGGTTTAAGCCAAACGTTTCAAATTAATTCCAGTCCAGTTTAGCAGTTTATGTCACCATTGCAGCATGTATATTTATCCTCAGCACAATTCACAGAAAATATGTGCTGGAAAAAGAAAAAGAAAAAAAAGAGTTAGATTTCCACTCATGGTAAAATATGATAGTACATCATCTAATTATACAGTGGAATTAAATATTTACATGAGAAACAAAAATATAGAAGGAAAATATGGAATAACTGTAATATAGAAGGATCATTAAAAACAGTCAGGTGAAAAGTTATAAAATACCCACATGAAAACTTTGGCTTATTTACTTCAGATCTGGAATTCTAAAACAAGCAAATCTGGAAGTCCACAATATTTTATTTATTTTAAAAAATGCTAAACTATTATTCAAACAAGGACTCCCAAGATGGTTCACAAAACAACCAAAATCAAAAGAACAAGATTAAACCAGATTAGGAAAAACCAAGGAGCTAAGTTAAGTACACTGAAGGTCAGATGAATAAGAAGGTTTGACTGCCCACCTGAAAACCAAGAATGGAGCTGTTCTAGCTTCTTCTAGGAAGCAATTTCATAACCATTTGAGCATCAACTAAATGATTCTTAATGTACAATTAGATCGCTGAAGCTGTTCCTGCAAGTTCAACAACAGGAGCCAAATCATAAAAGAACTTCAGCAATCTGTACAAGTGCACTGACCGTCACAACAGTCACCATGAAGTCCTCAGCACCGGTTATTGTCTCAAGCAACTCAGGTAGCCAATATTCTTATGGAAATACTGAGCAGGAGATTGAAGGAAAATGAAAACTTTTTATTACTGGAAATAAGATAGCCCCATCTTCCAGAACAGAATTGAAGAAGGGCAATGGGCTAGCAAGGGAGAGAAAATCCATGAAGTAAGATGCACTTCCACTGTCAGGAGTTACTAGATGGATTCAACACTCAGGCTCTACTAGCACCTGTCCAGACTGAAATACAACAGCTTATCTGGAGATAGTCATGCACAGAGACAGCTCACTGATAGCCAGAATTGTGCAGGGTGTAGCAGCAATTAGAAGTGTGTGTGGGGGTCTCCTTCCTGATAGCGAGAACCACGCCTCAGAGCCATGCCCTCATCAAAGCCACACCTATGTCCAAGATTATGCAACCTCTGATTATACAATAAAAGTGAACTTTGCCAGTTTGTTTGAATTTCTATTGAGAGATGAATGCAAGATGAAGATCCTTCTTTTTGAGATGAAGCAACAACAGTTTATAGAAGCTATTACTTATTATCTTACATTCATATCCTGCTCTCTAGACAAAAAACTGATAGAGTGGCTTATTTGGAACTAATAAGGCAGTTCCTGCCACAGGCTTACTATCTAAAAAACATGACATACAAGGGGAAGGGGACAGGGAGGGAAGAGGAAAAAAGGAAACTCAGGCACTAATTCCCCACACTTATAAAAACATATGTAGTTATATCCTCCCAAAAAAATTAGTATGGAATGACAACCACTTTAAAAAAATTGTCCAGAGTCCACATTGCGGGGGTTCTAGATTCTTAAATTTTTATTGTGCTATCATTGAATCCATGGTGAATCATGCATAAAGCAGTCCAACTACAGTAAGAAGAACTTAATGCTATCAGAAGTTATGGCTAATTTTCCCCATTGATTCCAGTGAGTATATTCCAGTTAGGATACTTTATTTCACTTTAGCCATTATTTCTTCTAAATAATTATGGGGCTAAGAGTTGCTAGAAAAGAGATATTCTCCTCACAGAGCTACCATTCATAGAATGGCTTATCAGCCAATCCCTCTTCCCCGGGAACTCTTGGAATGGTTCAATAGGTATCCACTAACGACACTCAATAGCTTTGATAAACTACATTCCCCAAGATTCTTTAGGGAACTTGTTCAGTTGCATAGTTGTGCCCGACTCTTCACAACCCCATGGACCATAGCATGCCAGGCCCTCCACTGTTTCCGGAAGTTCACCCAAAGTCATTTTCAATGCATCAGTGACACTACCTAACCATCTTATACTCTGCCATCCCCTTCTCCTTTTGCCTTCAGTCCTTCCCAGCATCAGGCTCTTTTTTAATGAGTCTGTCCTTCACATTATATGGCCAAAGTATCTGAGCTTCAGCTTCAGTATCTGTCCTTCTAAAGAACAGTCGGGGTTGATTTCCTTTAGGATTGACTGATTTGATGTCTTTGCAGTCCAAGGGACTCTCAGGAGTCTTCTCCAACACCACAATTCAAAAAACATCAGTTCTTCAGCACTCAGCCTTCATTATGGTCCAACTCTCACATCCCATACATTACAACTGGGAAAACCATACCTTTGACTATAAGAACTTTTGTCAACAAGGTGATGTCACTGCTTTTTAGTATGCTGTCTAGATTAGCCATAGCTTTCCTCCCAAGGACCAAGCGACTTTTAATTTCATCGCTGCAGTCACCGACTGCAGTGTTCCTGGAGCTGAAGAAAATAAAATCTGTCACTACTTCCACTACTTTGAGAAAGTAGTGACTGTTTAAAGTGGAATAAAGGTGTTCTAAATATGTGGTGTGAATGCAGGAGACGAAGATTGTTTTTGGAGCAGAAAAGGCAAGCTGACCACATGTTGCTGAGAACACCCCTGTTCTTAACTCCTAATATTCAGGACTTCAACATTGGCAGCTGCCAGTCATGAACGAGCCATATTAAGTCTCTTGAGAGGCAGTGGGTGAATTAATAAAAACACTGCCATAGGCAGAGATATCTATACACAACTAGCATACTGATGCCCTACAGAGAATGCTTTAATCTCTCTATAAGCCTTACAAGGCAGACTGTACACAAGTTACAGAGCACTTGAAAATTGTTCATAGCTTGTGGGGTGGAAGTAGGGGTAAGAATCAATTGTGCTGCCAATTCCAAAACATTTGGGAATAGAACAAATCAACAGTGGCAAGCAGAGGTGGGTGACTGGTTGAGAAACAATGATTATGCTTTGAGAGGCAAATATGTGAATTATTTTGGTAAAGTAAGAATTGCACTTCTCTTCTCTAGTTGTTCCTTATACTTGAGTTCATCTCTTTTCTATCTTTCAAGAACAGTCTGCATTATTATTTGGATTCATCTTCAGAACCACCTTCCCTACAAATGGGTTAATAAAATCAGTAAGTGATTTGTTACTGTTCTTGGAGTTTGCCATCCACAACTAAACCCAAGCATTTGCTAACTTGGTATATAGCTTTTTTTGTGAAATTCACCACACCACAGGCCTATCACCCTATAAACATTCAATAGAACTTCAGTTCTCAAACATTTGTCTGGGAAAACAATCAATGGCTTCAAGTAACATTTTCTGGGCCGGCAGATGCATAGCAGTACATCAAGCTAGCATGTTAAGTCATCTTTGCTAAACTGAAAAAGTCCAGGCCTGCAGGCAGATGGGTGCCACAACTGGAAGCAGAGCAGGGGGCTAGACTCAATGGTCTTTCAGGCCCCTCCCAACTCTACTTCTATTCTCTTACATGGGTCAAGAGATTATGGGCAATTTGTGGAAGTATATGCTTCTTCCAAGAACTTTATAAGCATGGTCCAAACTTACATCAGAGCCAATCTTAACCACAGCTGATCATTGCATTGACATTATCCACAGTTAATGCTAATATATTGGTATTGCATGGTTTCATCCAGTGCTATGAAACCAGCTGCCATCATGCTTGGGTGATACCAATGTGAGCATTATTCATGGTAAAAATCAGTTACGAAAGAAAAATTTCACTCTAGAGAAAGGCCATTTTGGTGATACAGAAAATGATACATGGTAGCCTGACCTTGCTGTCTTAACTATGGTAATGGGATCAGGAGTTTTATGCACACTATACCTAAAGAAGCAACATGCTATTACTTTTAATAAGCAATCTTTCAAACAAGCTAGATGACACCTGACACCAGCTATACAAAATGTTTAGAGCTTTATTGTAAGGATGGTGACTCAAAGTTAGGAAAAACTGCATTTAAGCAATTGTTTAAATTATTTAATTATATAATGAGCCCTTTTGAAGTAAGAACTTCTGTGGCAAGAAAGAGACATTTCAGAAATGGTTTTGGATGCCTATCTATAGGTGAAGGGTGAGTAAGTTCTGGTATACCAGATGCTGAACTGCACCTCCCATCAGCCCCAGGCAACACAGACAATATTGAGGGGTGACGGGAACAGCAGCGCAACAACAGCTGGAGAGCCACATTGGTACTTTTGGCTCTGCCTACAATCTTAAAAATCCTTGTTTAATTTTCTGCTGCAAGATGCAAGTTTAAAAACATGCTGGCAGTATTTTCCATCATGTCTTGTCTCCAAAACAAACGTTTGCTCTAATTTAATATTCATCACAGCTACATATTTTAATTTGAAATTTTTGGGGAAAAAAATGACAGAAAACATAATGTGTTCACATTTTCCCCTTTTTTCCTTAACCATTACTATGGACAGCTCCCATTAACATGCAGCATTTCATTATAATGCAAGATTTTACAGTTCTTTATCAAATATTTATATCCCTGTTAAGTAGCAAGAAATTAAATAGACACTTTCGCCCTAACAAAATGCCATTATTGAACATACTGGCATATTATTCCCAATGCAAGTTTCCACTTGTGAAATGCAGAATTGGTTTTAAATGAAGCAGTACCACTAGGATGCTAAAAATATTTTCCAAGTAGTATTACACAGATATTTAAATCCATTTTTACTCAGTGTTCATGAAGGCCATGCTCACAGAGGCCATAATAAAATATGCATGCACGTTGACCAACTTTGGGTGAAATACTGAAACTGACATGTATATTACATTATCTAGCATAGCCCTTCCCAATTTGCTCCCTTTCAGATGTTTTGATCCCTGACCACATCATGTTAACTAGGGTTGATAACAGCTGTAGTCCAAAACATTTGAAAGACAACACTTTAGAATGACACAGCCCAACTGATGCCTTTTTACATCTTACTGATCTTCATGGCAGATTTTATTTAAGCACATGCTTGATTCTTCCACTGAAATAATGGGTCTCAGAAGAACTTAATCTTGATTATAACCTTCTTTTTATGGGACAAAAATGTATAAAAACCTTCATTATGGAAAACAGTAAATCCTACCTTACACACACAGAAAATTCTGACAAACTAATAGTAAGAAAGTATAAATTAATTATATATTTCTGATTAGAAATTTATAATCAAAGAATACTTACAAGAATATTTATAACGCAGATTTTTAAAACACCAATAGATTCATATATGAAGACTTGATATTTCTGTAGTGTTTTTCTACCATAACAGTATCATAGCACCACAAATCCTCACTCATTACATGGATACACTTCTAGAGGTAACATTCAAGAGTGCTGAGTGGAGACCCTCTTGTATCTAGTCTCTCAGGTTGCACAGACTTCATTCCTCTTAAAGCTGACAGCTCTGAATATTTGTTTGGCTAGACAGACACTTGCAACAGTAGACAAGGATCCAGAGCAGTGGCCAAGAAATTATGTATCCAAACAAACACCATTCTGGCAGCAGGTTTAACTAACCATGAAAACTTGTTGAAGGCAGTATGCAAATGACAATGGGTAAAATCCAGCATAAATCCTACTCTCTCTAGCTCAATTAATCTACTTGAAGTAAGGCAATTTTTTCCAAACCCAATGTTTTGTCCATCATGCCACACGCCATAATTGCTAACCACACAATTTGGGCAAGCAGAAATCAGCCTCTGTTAAATCTCTGGAAGATGCAAGTTGTTGTGGTCTTGGCTTGTGCATTGTCTGATCCAGAATATGGATAAGGCGCACTCTTTGATGCAAGCCCTCACTGTTTGCAGTAATGAATCTTACTGCAATATCAGGTTGCCATTCCTGAACAGTGGCAATTTAGGATGAGACATTTCACAATTTGTGACATTGCATGAGAACACCAGCATGCTATGTATTTATATGCTGGCTCAGCAAGAAGGGGCCTTAGTCCATGCCACTGAATTTGTTGGGGCTTGGTAGGAAGCAAGTCTAGGACTGCAGCCTAGATCAGCCCCTATTCTAACACTAGCTGTAGTTAGAAAGGCATTATTAATTGCCTTGCATGTTCTGTGTACCTCCCCAATTAATCAATCAATTAATAGAGGGTTATTCATTAAAATAAGTATCCTGAGCAAAGATTTGAAATTGCCTTCCCAATGCTAATTGAATTGTTTGGCTCAACAACAACAAAAATACTTTTTTACACTTAGTGCTCTGCCTTTAATACAGATTTTTGTTTCCAGTGATCTCAAACTAGCAGACAGATGCTGGTACAGTGAGATTAAAAGTGCAGACCTAGGCATCAGAGGTAAATAATAAGCTCAGTGGGTGCAGATCTGTAACCTAAGAGACTGTATTCATCCATCCATGGGTAACATTTGTCTCACATATTTCTAGGTAATGTTTATTTGCTAAAGGATTCATTATGGCTGTCATTAAAAGTTTGAGCAAAAAACAGCAACTGAAAAGAGAACATCTTTTCTTTGCCATCAACTCAGTGTACTTTACATTTTTGGGATATATTCCACAAGCGTAACCATGAATACAAAACCTTTCTCATTTCTATACTTTAGTTTTCAGTTCTTAACCAAAAACAGCAAACAGCTCCCAAACAAATGCTTACCTTTTTTGACTCAAGAGATCTACATCTATACAAAGTTTTATGAACTGGCACACGCATGCCCATGTGTTTTAATATGTTCCGGGTTTATTTTTGTCAAAATATTTATTTCTCTAATCTCTGTGACAAACATGAACTACTATACAATTAAATTTTCTATTTTGACTCACAAGATCACGAAGCCGCTCTCCGCGTCCCAAAACACTAGAGGGCGACAATGTTTCACAGAAAACCTACGGAGGCTCGCTTGAGTATCACACGAAAAAGACGGATGTTAACTGAGCTAATAACATTTAAAAAAATGAAATTACAAGCTCCAAAACAGCACAATACAACAAGACCGAAAAGAAGAGGACATTTTTGTCGTCAGAAGCTGCATCAAATCACCCATAACCAGAGAAACAGAGACTTGAGCCTCAGTTAAAATTATCCTCATTAATTCAGGCACAACACCTCCCACCCCCTCCAAAAGTAGCTATTTTGCATCCAAGAGCACAACATCCAAGCTTGTCGCGGACTTGACAAGCAGGAAAGATTTCTTAGGGCGCAATCCTACGCGCGTTCAAGGCGTTCTGGGAGTCGTAGGGACTCCCTTCCGTTTTAGCACGTTTAGGACTGCGCCCTTCGTGTGTCAAGGCGCACATGCGACCACACCAGCAGGCACTGGAGAACTTTCTGATTTTGGGAAACGGAGCCCGAATTTGGGAAATCCAGAGCCCGAAGTTGAGGTTCCCCTGTGTCGTTTCAGCGGCGAAGGAGCCATAGCCCACGCCCACCCCCGCGCCCCCGAAGTCTTCATTACCTGCCTGGGCACTTCGGGACCATGGCGCCGCCTCCGCTCGGCGATGACCTTCTGCAGCTTCTCCTGGGAGAGAGGGGAGGGGATTGGAACTCTCTCCCGGTAGCGGCGGCTTGACGCGGGTAAGTATAACGTCAGAACCGGCCCGCTGGGCACGCACGGGAGCTTGCGTCCACAAAACTTGGGAGCTTCCGGAGAGTGTCTCTCGGGCGCTGCCGCTCTCCCCCGGCACGGACCGACCAGGCTCGCTCCGCAAACGCGTCTCAGGCAGGCGGCGGCCGCGAAAGGCTCGCCCCCTACCGCCGGCCCCCGCGCCCCCTTCCCCAGGGACGAAGAAGAGAAGCAGGCGAATGGAGGGTTATTCGAGCAAGAAGCCCCGAAGGCGTCCCGGCGGTGCCTCGCCGCGGCTGCCTTGCCCTCCTCCCCGAGGAAAATCAGAGACGGGGCCCGCGGAGGGCAAGAGGACAAGCGGCCCGGGCTGAGCCAGCCGCGCGAAGGAGCCGAGCCGAGCCGAGCCGAGCCGAGCCTGCGCCACCGCCCGTCTCGAGGCGCCCGGACGGGATGCTCGCTGCCGTAGCGGCTCTCACTTGAGAAGCTGGGAGGAACGCCGCCAGCCAGCTTGCCTCGCCATTGGTCAGACTCTGCTCTTCCTCTTGGCCAATCAGGGCGCTCTTGGGGAGGAGGCAAAGGCAAAGGGTCGGAATTCCGGCGGCGGCTTGACACGGGTAGCTCTAACGTCGGAAGCGACTTGGATACCTACTCAGCGCGTGACTACACTTAGCCCAGGGTTATCTGCGCTGGTTGGCAGAGGCTGTAGGAAGGCTCAGGCAGGAGATGCAGAGGATCGAACCTGGGACCTTCCGCATAACTGGCCTGGAAGTGAGGGGCAGGGTCAGGCAATCTAGAAAAAGACCTCCACCGCGCGCATCTTTTCTTATGCCTTTAGCATGATCAGCCCTTCGGTGAGGAACGACATTCCCACCTCTCTCTCTAGTACTGCTAAGTCTTGATTTTACATACAGCGGGCTTCCTCTGCTTGTGTTTCCGTGAAAGAATACGAACAGAATCCACTAGGTCTAGTCGCAAGCAACTGGGCGCAGTTATAAAGAAAAGCGCATAGGATCGCACTGTCAGATGCATTTTCAGGGCAACCCTATATGTATCTCTAAGAATTCAATGGGGCTTATGCCCAAGTGAGTTTGGCATAGTATTGTTGTAGTATTAATTGGATCTGAGTGAAAAAGCAGCTCTCCAGGGAGGGAGGGGATGGCGATGGGGGGCAGTCACCCTGTCTAGCAGACTATTCATTTAATACAGGTGCTGGTATGTAAATTGCCAGTTGTGCGGGGATGTGACTGCCTCGCCATTGCTGGGCCTCCAGATCAGGGACTGGTTGGATTTTGGGTTTATCTGGAAATGTTAGCTGGAGAGAGAAAGAATCTGAACAAGGTGATCCCAATGGGGGTGCTGTTCAAACAGGTAAAATGGAGTGGACAGTGGATTTATAACTGTACTACTAAAGGGAATCTTAGACTGAGAAATAGAGTCAGGAAAGTTATTTACCTACTCTAGGGTGTTACTTTAGTTATTTCATTTCAATACTACCTGGTAGCCAAAACTGTCTGGGCGGTTTACAACAGTTCCTGAAACCAAACTAAAATGCAATTTATGACAATCTTCAGTGTGCCTTCTGTTCCAACGCCGCTTTTTACTTCTGCAAGAAGAGTCATTTGCTCTGTTTAACTGGACAAGAACATTGCACTAGGCTGCATTAAATCTTAATACTGTAATAGATTTGTAGGCTCTGGTGTAGAAATGCTGACCTATTCTGAATCCTGCCCAAACCTAGAAATCTTCTGTGTATAACGTATAAAGGAAGATCAAATATGCTTCTCACGCATTTACTGGATGCATGTGCAGAGAGTAGTATCCTGGGTCAAAGCCGTGCCACTAAACACTGATGTTCCTGCTGGCCATTCCCACATCCAGCATTAATGGGAAATCATCCTGCGTACACATGCATGTGCAGGGTTCCTGGCTGCTCTGTGTATGCACAAGGCCTTGACTCATTAACGTTGGACTCATGGCTGTTGTGGTGGCACAGCTAGCAGGAAGGGTGGTGCTTGGGGCTGTGGCCAGTAGGCATGATCCTGTCACCCCTACAAACACATTTGAATGCACAGTAGTTATATTTTTTAGTACTATGGTTACATGTTTTTAAATACCACTTTTGCCACAGCTGGTGCTTTATTGACTAACAGAACCAAAAAGAAAACCAGATTTTCTCCTAAAGAGCTTATAGTCTAAATTATAATCTAATGATGCAGGGGTACAGAACCTCAGGCTCAGAGGCAAGATTCTCTTTTCCCACAAATTCCAAGCATTTCTTTCTTTAGAGCATTTATATAACCACTCCATATTCTGGCATGGAGTTTCCAGAGTGCAGCTGGTTGGTCCTGGAAGGCTTCCTGAAATAAAGATGTTTTGGGATGCACTGAATGCAACACAGCATTGGTGCTCACCTGACCTCCAAAGGCAGGGAGTTCAGAGAAATGGAGGCCCCATGGTAGGCTGTTCTCCAGGTGGACTCCAGCCTGGCCATTGGTCCACACAGCACCACCAGACACATGTCACATGAGGACCTCAGTGAGCTGGAAGCTTGGTAAGGGAGGGGTTTCTCTTTTCTGATGTTAGTGAAAATTTTCTCCCATTCTAAAAGGTTGACCCTCTCCCGAGACTTAATTAAGGGCAATATGAGCTTTAGACTACACTATGCTAGCATTTTTGGTAAATCGGCCCTTTCTATTTGCATTTGGACACAATGGACATGTCATCCCAAGAAACTTCTCCCAAATGGAATTCAGCCTTCAAATTGAAACAGGTTCCGTTGCCCAGTGGGAGTAGAAGGGAGGGGTAAAGGTGGCATCTGGGAAAGAAAATCGGTGAAGCAACAGGGTCTAGGCATGCTTAAGAGTTACAGATTCCTGTTTTAGCAGGAACATATGGACTGGCTTTCCATGTCCTGTCCAGCATTCCTCTCACAGTATCAGCCAGCCAGATAGCTCTGGAATCTTACAAAGCACAGCATGGTGGTGATATAGTCTCCTACAGTTTGTTTCCAATCAGTACTCAAGAGGCAGACTGCTTTTGTAATATGGAACTTTCTTTTCCATGTCATTATCTCTAACAGCCAAAGCTACAAATTATATGAAATATTGGTTCATTAAATTTATCTTCTGCTTCTCCTCCAAGCAGCTGGAGATTGAATACATAGCTCTCACATATATTCTTCTAACAACCCTGTGAGGTGGGTTGGGCCAGCCTAATGTCACATGGGGGGCTTCTTGGCGATAGGACCCCCAAGACCGAGGTAGCATCCCCCTCCTGTGCCATGTTCAAAAGCTGGCTGGGCTGGCACTTGAATCATTCTTCAACACTGGTGATGGGACAGCATCCTTTATTACATCTGAAGGCACAGGGCCAGCTTTGGGAATACAGAGCAGGTACTTGGCGCACATCTCTCTTCCCCGACGCTTTGCTGCATCATTCTCAGCATCTGTTACCTGAGGTGACTGCCTCACTCTCTCTTCGGCAAGGGGCGGCATAGAAATGTTCTAATAATAATAAAAATAATAATAATAAAGATATGGCCAGCCTTGCAGGCACAGACGGAAAGTGTGGCTCTCAGTTTGGCTCTCAAGAGGGGAGGCCATGTTCACCCCTGCCCTCCGGCTATTTTTCCTATCTAAATGCCGCCAAAGAGGAACAGTGTGGTCCACTGTAAGCTAACAGCAGCTGGGGTTGGAAAGAATCAAACCTGAAACATGGCAAGAAGGGAAAACACCCCTCTTCCTGGTGTAGCTGCCCTGATCAAATTATCCCATGACCAATTTAAAAGAAAATAAATAATTTTACCAGGGGTCTACCAGTTAAGTCTGGCTGTAATCACCCATTGGAATAAACTCAACATCCATAAATTTGTGGATTCGGCTTCCGGAACTTCTGTGTAGGACTACAGCCCCCATCTCTGAACATGGATGCCAGTTTGGGAAGGCTGGCCTAATCCAATAGGAAAGATTTACTGACGTCTTCTGAGGTGCTTGACAAGTGGGTTTGCCCATGGCAGAATCACACCTGTAGCTCCAGGTCTGAAAAGGCACTTGCATGACACCATTAGCTAGCCTGCCCCTTATGTCAGTGGGGCCCTGCTTTGAGTCTGTTGGGCTTCCCGGGAGGACATAACAGCATTAGTAGTGCTCCAGTTTAACTTTCCGGGAGTGCCCTTGGGTACCTCGACATGGCACTGAAAGGCACTGTTCGTCATTTAAATGGCATATGAACTGAGGACTTTGAATAGACAAAGCTGTGGGCTTTACTGGAGTGCTGGCAGCTGCCCAGGAGTATTGGATGCCGGTGCCAGTCCTGCTGAAGGGCAGCCATAAATGAAAAATGTGAGTCACATGCCTGAGAAGGACAAGAGCACTTCAGCACTGTGGAAAGTGCTGTACATGTCCTCAAGCCACCATCCCCAACCTGGCGCCATCCAGATATGTGGAATAAGTGGGTAACTCCCATCATTCCCAACAGCATGGCTTAGAAAGGTGGGAAAGATTGCTCAAAAGCAAGCTGGCTTTCAACAGCACATATTCATTACTCCCATGCCTAACAAGTGGGTTTGGAAGCCAACAAGTGTACCATAAAAGACTACATGGAATTCTCTTTTTCATTTATGGTGATAACACTCGATTTAGATTTAGAAGTGTGTGAGTCATTGAGAGGAGGATGTATTCTAAGTGTTTACTCTCTATGGATAGTTAAGAAGCTCCTTGGAGAAGATATACAATCCTGTTATATTAAACACCCCCTACACACTTTGTTATGCTATACTGCATTTCATATCTGTGTTATCTGAAGATTTGTTTTTGTTATGTTTTCTGAGACCATCTGTCTTCCCACACTTTTTCCTTATCTTTGAGCCTTTAGATGGAAAATGCACTGGCTATTTCTCTTTACTTGCTTTTGTTTCATTTTCAACCCTTCATTTTCAAAAGTATTTGTTATATTTCTCCCAAGCTGCTCGAAGACTCCTTGAGCTTTGGGTGATGAATCCTTGGTACCAAAAATGAGTGCCTTTAGGGCCCA